ATAAAAAAGTAACAAAATGTAAAAATAATCAAACTAAGAAAATTAAAAATTTTTTCAAAAAATAATATAAACTTTAATAATAATAAATTAAATGATAATAATTTAGAAAATAAAATTTAATATAAAAAATAAAATATAAAGTTGATTCAGTTATAAAAAATTATTTATAAATTTAAATTAAATTGTATTTTTTTTACTAGATTAATAATAATAATATAAAGGAAGTAAAAGACTTTATATTAAAAATTTTGGTGTTAAAAAAAAAATATTAAAAAATCTTTTTCTAATAAAAAAATTTAGTATAAACATTTAAAAGAATTTCAATTTAGGAATAATAAAAAGAATAAATTAAAAAAATAAAACTGGAGTATAAATTTTAATAAATAAGATTTACTTTATTAACAAGAATTTAATTGTAATAAAAAGGATAACAAAAGTTTAATAAATAATAATAAATAAATTTATATATTTTATAGATTTATATAAATAATAAAATTAATAAGATAATTTAAATTTTATTAAAAAATAAAAAAAATTAAAGTTATATAAATTAAAACATTTTAATTGAAAACAAAAACAAAATGTTTACAAAAAATAAAAATAAAATGCGAAAAATGAAATTAATTTAAAAAGAAAATTTTAATTTGTCTATAAAAATTTCGAATAAATTTTATAAAAAATAAATTATTTGTAAATTAATATAAATAGTTTTTACTGTAAAAATATTTAAAATTAAATACGACAAAATTATCATTTAATTTGTTGAAGTTTTTTACTCTAAATTTCATTATTGTAATAATTATTCCTATTTTTATATAAAAAATAATAAAAGAAAAAATATAAATATAAAAATGCTGAACAAAATGAAATTAATTTAAAAAAAATTGAATTCAATAAATTTGATAAAAAATAATTTAAATTAAATACAAAAAAATTATATTTTAATATTTGTTTAACCTTTTTACTTAAAATTTTATTATTATTAAATTTCATTTCTATTTTTATATAAAATTATAAAATTTATTATTATATCAATTTTCAAACGAAATTTAACAAAAACTTGATTTGAACTATAAAAATAGTAAATTAAATAAAATAAAATTAAAAAATTATATATAAATTATAATGAATTTTATTTTTGTTATTCAACTAATGGATCAAAAGTTATAAAAAAAAATTCGCTGAAAGGATTTCATTAATTTAACTATTATATATAATTTTTTTTTTCAAACATAATAATAGTTATAATAATAATAATAAGAAACCAAACAAATCTTGAACGGCTTGAATTAAGATTCTTCTCTTTTCTCCTCGAATAGCACAAACTCCTTTTATACGTAAATATTCTGTCGGTTCTCCTGAAGAATCCTTAAAAAAATAAAAATTTTAATAAATAATATAATAATAATAATAATAATAATAATAATAATAATAATAATAAACTTTAGTGTTTTCAAAAAGAAGACCAGCCAGCCAAATTTCTAGAGCTTCTTTAGAAAGTACATCGTCTCCGCGAGTCAAAGTAATTGTGCTTATACACTATAAATATAACAAATAATAATAATAATTGTAAAAGTATATTAAAAGTTTACGGGACTAATATGAGAAACTTCAGTTTGCCGAATAGTGGGAACGCGGTCCTCCGAGAAAGCTTTAATATCCAATAGAAAGTCTAAGTTTACTCTAGAAGTGAATAATAATAATATAAAAGTTAAGAAGTCAATCACTTTTATAAAACTTTTACTCCGCGCGTGTAGTTTCATAAATGGGCGCGACGCCATTTATGGAGCTTTAATAAAAAGTAATAGTAAGAATAATAATATTAATATTAATAATAATAATGAACGCAATTGTATTTCGTATTTTTGAAAGTTCTATTCTATCCACCAAATCCACTTTATTAAGAATAATACGATCCGATAAGCCAAGTTGTCTACAAGTATTATCATTATTACCGTTTTATATAAAAACTTTTTACTATCAAAACCTTTCTGCTGTGCTCACACCATATTCGTTCTTATCAACAAGATACTATTACATAATAATAATAATAATAATAATAATAATAATAATAATAATAATAATAATAATAATAATAATAATAATAATAACAATAATAATAATAATAATAATAATAAGCAACCTTATGGATATGCTTTGCATCCACAACCGTAATGACTCCATCGAGATAAAGATCACTACAGAGATCCTCGTCAAGCCAGAACATACCTACTACTGGCCCTGCTTATTAGTGTTAATTATTTATATTTATTACTTATTATATACTTCTTACAGTTGTCTTCATTATTTTATTATTGATTACTTTATATATTTTTATTAATCATTTATTATTGATTGAGTTATATTTATTATTTATTATATTATTTTCATTATTTAGTATTCATTGATTTATTAGTGATTATATGTAATTATTCATTACTCTTTATATTTTATTATTATTTATTATGTTATATTATATTAATTATCATGTTTTATTGAATTATTATAATTATATTGATGATGTTTATTGATATATATCTCTTTATAATATTGTATATACTATTCTTAAATAGTTAATATATTTTATTTTTTATATTATTATAACCAATACAATTCTTATTTTTACATAATAAAAAGGAAGGAAGTAATAATAATTTTGCGAATAACAAAATAAAGCTCACTTTAATAATCTTTATTAATATATTTATAGTAGAAAATTTTATAATTATAACTATAAAATTAAAAAAAATTATTAAAACCGCCAAAGCACGTGCATGATTGGTACAGTACTTTCTATATATATTATTTTGATCCAGTTTAGCGAACTGCAAGTCACAATTTATATATTACTTTTTCTTTTTATAAATATATTTTTTATATTAACCAATTAAGTTATACATAACAAATACTCATTGCGTTGGTTGGCTCCTATTTGCTGTTATGGTTTTGAAAAAAGATGCACACTGTCAATATACCACGTGGTATAGTAAAAATTGGAACCACGCGTTAAGTAATAAAACTTTGCACTACCTGCAATACCAAGTGTGTTATTGTCTAAATTTACTTTTCCATACTTCTTAAGCTTAATAAACGCCGAAATCTTATTTGCTTCTGTTTTTTTCAGTTTACTTAAAGAAGATTTCAAAAGTTGGCTAATTTAATAAAAATTCGCTAAATAATTATAATTTAATTGATTCTTTTTCTCTACGATCTTTTTCTTCCTTAGCCCGTTGACTTTTCTTTAAATACGACGAATTGATTAAATAAAAAAAGTGAATGTAAGTGTTGCTTAGTAAATCCAACTTTTAAAATTTCCTAGTAAATAACTAAATATTGTTCATTTTTTTCATTAAATTTAAATTTTTAGGTTAGTCAAGTAGATTTTATAGATACGAAACTCAATCAAGATAAGTTTTTAGAACTAAATAAATATTTCCTATAATTTCGCAGCTTTACTTAAAAAAAATAAAGTATTGAGTATAAATGCAACATCAAGTAGAGTTTTACTTAAAATTATATTTTTCCTAATTTTTAATCAATTCCTTGCAGAGTAATTCGTTGAATTATGCAATTATTTAAAATCAGATTTTTCTACATCTTAAAAATTAGTTAAATATATTATTGTAAAGATTAAAACTCTCGTTATTATTGTAATTGTTATTATTATAATATATTTTACCAAGCCTAGTAAATAAAATTGTTAGTCGAGTAAAGAAATTTGTTCTTCTTATCAACGACTATAACATATTTTAAGCTAGTAGTATTAAAATTTTAAGATATAGAAAATTATACAAAAATTAAAACACATTTTAAATAATTAGAAAAAATGAAAAGATGCCAGTTTCATAAGGCATAAAATAATAGCAAAAAAAGGCGCCAACTTTACGAATATATATAGACTTATGCCTGGATCAGCAAGTCCAGTAGTTTCGAGGAGTATATAGTCAAACTGGCCACGTTTTTCCATAAGGGCTTCAATTGCCTTCACGCCGCTATCTCTTAAGAATATAAGGTATTTCATTAAATATTAATTAATATAAATGGGAAATTTTTATTCCGTGTTTTTGTATCACACATTGAAATTTTAACTATTTAAAGTAAAGGAGGAAATATTCGATTATTCTTAATTAAGGAAAAACAGTATTAAGAACAATATAAAATTGTTTAAATAAGTTCATATTGAGTTGATAGAGAAAATAAACTTGGGCCGGCCGAATAGTAAGTTTAATAACAGGAAAAAATAAACTTAAAAGCAAAGTGTACGGAAAAAATATTTCTTTTAAAACTATTTATATAATTTAATTTTGACGAGTAACTCAAAGGAACTAAAAAGTAATAAAAGGAAGATATATATTACAAAAGCTTTATATACAATACTTAAACAGTAAACCATAAATGCTACAAACAAAAATACTTGGCGGAGCAGCAAAGACAACCGTTGCGTAGCTCTAACCATTCTTCAAAAAGTTCACCTTCCTTACGAACAGATAAAGATTTTTCCATAACACTCCCTTATTAAAATTATAACAAGTTATTATTTAATAATTATTTAAGCTAATGTAAACGAATATTAACCCTCTCCAAATTCGTTAAGAATAACAGCAATTTTTTTGTTATGCTGTTCAGTAAGAATATGATTAAGTAAGGTTGTTTTCCCTGAACCTAGGTAGCCAGTTATAATGGTTATAGGAACTTTTTTTTCACCTAATCAAAGTTTAAAAAAACAATGTCATACTTAGTGATTATTTTTTTTTAAAGATAAATGCATATACCGAAGCTATCTTCTAAGGAAACAAAGTTAGAAGCGACGAGAGTAGGGCAATCATAATCCTCAATCATTTAATATGTAAACTTGGTCTTAAATAGAATTATGCCTCTATTAAAAAAAAATTTTCATCTTATGTTACTCATAAATGTTATTTTATTAAGAGAATACTAGAGCTGTAGAAAATACTGCGGCAATGACTGACATATAAAACGAGTCAGAATCCCGAGCCAGTTGCAAAAGATGGAGCTCGAGGAATAAGGGTCTGGTCATTCCCGGAAAGGAATTTCTACTACTTAGCCTTCAAAATATAATTTAGAGTATATATTGCGGAAGTTTTATTGAAATGGATATAATGATATTAATTTGAACCTCAAGGATATCATACTAGCGAAGTAATCAAAATGTAAAAAGGGACATCCGCCATTCTATATAGTAAATAGCACTATTGTATAAGTTTTAATACCAAACTATACTAGAGTTGTATCATATACTGGAAGTGAGCACTATTTAATTTAGTTATTTTTCCCAATAGCTAAATATCATAGTACATAATAAATATTAAAACAGTGCACACCCCTGTTTACCATAAGCCTGAGAGCTTTATACCTTTCAGTTTATTTTTCTAGCTCTCGCTCTTTACTTATACATGATTTCTGGGAGCTTTATTATTATTACATTATAATTGTTATTTTGTTTATACTATTGATTATATATGTAAAATTCATTAGTGCTATTTAAAGTTGTTGAACAACATTGTAAAATGACTTTTTAGTACGCGGTAAGATGAAGAGAAATGACCAAATGGCTTCGCTACGATCTTTTTTGGACATATACGATAGTTTAATATTCCTGGAACCACCAATATTCCTTCAGGATTGCGGGCTAACTAGTACTTAGTACGCTCATGGCTAAAGACTACAGTAGCTTTCGCTAGCTGTAATTGGGATGTAATACTCAAAAGCATTAAACCTTTAACTTACAACATCATTAGGTTTAGGGTTAGGTAAAGGTTAGGTTTGCCTGTCTTATTTCGTATTCGGTATCAAGTTTATGGAGGCTATTGAAAAGCTCTTTACCGACATTTGGCTATCTTGTAACATATAACCAAATAATTCGACAAACTTACAAGTCGTGGCAGTAAGGTTACCTCACTGTTGGTAATTACGATAGAGAATTGCCTATTAGCTTTTAAAGTAACTAATCCCAATGACATAAAACTTCTTAAAAAAAAGAAAAAAAAATTATATTAGCCATCTGTAGCCCCTCGATGGAGTAGCCTTTAACCAAGGTAATTCACTGAAAAAAAAGGCATTTGGACATTTATAATTGTTTGAAGGTCTGCAATATGAGATCGTTTTATATATAAAATTTCGCGTGGAACAATGACAAGGCACCTAGAGTCGTCCCCCACTTTAAAATCAATATACCATATATAAATATAAAATTAGAAGACTCTTTTTACTGCGAAGGAAGAAACCGCTTATCTAACACTAGCTCTTTTTAACTATAAAAAGTTAATTTTTATAAGCTTTACCTGTAGCGATTGAAAAAAAACGGTGCAAGATGCTGTCGATTAAGCCCATAATGAAAAATGAAAGCTTTACCGCATTATTGTCCACATCAAAGAAAGAAATATCGGATACCATAACATCTCATAAAGTACCTCACAGGAAAGTGTTTTAGGTACATTGCCAACATCGTTAACTCAAACAATTCTTTGTTTCCGGACCGCTAGGAACTTGCGGAGGTTGTTTTTTTATACCCAAATATAGCTAGAAATTTTACGAAGTTTAATGACTATCGACCTATCCGAATAACGTGGAAATCGATATTTTCTAGAGGTAGCAGAAAATAGTTTCTATAAAAAAAATAATTAACATTAAGTATTTTAGCTTCAGACAGAAACACTTTAAGAGCCAACAGATTTTAAAGTATTCTTATCACGTAACTAAAGCTTTTATTAAAGTGTTGATAAGTTTGATAAAGTTTAGTATTACGGGTTGCTGTATAAGACAATCTAATTGAAGGAAGCTTTTGTACTCGTTTCTTCTCAAATGGAGGAAAGAGATAAAGTTAGCATTATATAGACAGGTCGCTGGGGTTCCACGCATTCTCTTAAGCAAACAGATTAAACACGAGTAAATTTCTGGCTAAAGCTTAAAAGTAGAGCACCAGTCGCTATGCTAAATGGCTGAAACATATACTTGCAGTTAGCTTGTGAAATACTAGAAGTTCAAGTATTATAGAGGGAAGACAGATTAAGAGGTGAAGTGTTTTGACCTCTTAGTAGAACGCTATCTTTATAAATAAATAAATAATACCAAAATAAAGTACTTTTTAATTTTCAAAAGTGCACCCTTCGGATAGAAACGGTATGAAAAGAAAAAAAGTAAATATATTATTTATGCAAGTTTTTGCTAAAGTTAAAACCTAAATTATACACCTTTGAAAGACAAAATTCTATTTTGCGGGAAAGATTTCTCAAAAACTTTTGCTTCTAATTCTAATTCTGGCTTATTTAGAAAATAGAGTTGCTTCCGTATAGTATATTATTATAAAAACTATAAATTCTTTTTATTTTGTAATCCTTTATTACTAAAACAAAAATGTGAGTTTTTGTCATTATGCTAGACATATAACTTCCTACGTGGGGAGCAACCTGCAGAGTTAGAATTTCCGTTTAAATAATATATTTAAATACTTCCGTACTTAGTCAGTGAGTACATTATGAACTGCATCCCTAAAACTACCACAAAAAAAAGACAAGTTTTGCTCCTTTATACAATTAACCTTTTTTTTAAAAAAAATTATCAAATTCTTTTTAAATATGTCCCCGTTAAGTTTAAAAAGCTGAATTATAAATTTTTATTTTCACCGCATAAGAGTGAGCAGAAACTTTCATTAATAAAAAAGTTATGGGTACTTTGTGTGCTCCTTCCATATCGGTTTGTTATTATAACACTTAGTTATTAGATTTTGCTAAATAAAATAGATTATAAGTATTATGATTCGATGTATGTATTTAGTGCGAAAAGTTCGTATAACGTTCTTCTTCTTTTGTAGAAAAAGCTTACTTTTCGACTCTGACAGTTATTCATTTGTTATTAAACCAATTTCGAGAATCTTTGAGTAAAGCTAAAGGTTTTTGATGATAAAAGAACTCTTTTTAAACTTAAGTTAAGAGCAGTGACTCAGCAGATTGGCTCAAAATAGTAGAAGAGTTGACAGGTTTAAAATCTCGACATAAATAGTGCGGACTGGAAGAGAGATCCCTGAAATACATTCGCTTTAATAAAAATTATTAACGAGTCCACCTTTTTAGAAACGGATATAAAACTTTACTCTTCAGGTGAGAGGAAATAAAAGAAAACTCTAACCTAAAAGCGCATAAAAGTAAAAAAAAAAATAGTATATATTATTTTTTTAAAATCTTCACGAGGGTGGCTCGTTGTACAAAAGTAAAAAACCCTAAGACAATTGAAATGAACAACAGGTATATATCATCGGTGATTTCGATCAGCTTAATCACTCGCTTTAAAAACTGCAGAAGTTATATTGCAATTAGGTGCACTCTTCAGTTATGAACTGAAAGTACGGTACTAAATCGTGTACATCCGCAAACTTTCAGAGTCTACTAAGTAGATTACTTCTACTATACGGGGCCGCAAGCTTAATTTTTAAAAATCGTTTAGTGAGAACAATGTTTGAGAATTTAATCGCTGCTGCATTATTTACTTTAGCTTAAAAAAAAATTTATGTTTAAAAAATTTAAACCAATCAACTTATAACCGTTTTATTTTGCTTGAGTAGATGAGATTCGTGTCTGCTAACATTTTATATCAGCGTTTCAAATATTTTTATTTACTTGTAAAATCAGCTCAAAGGTAACTTGAAATAGAATTTAAAAAATCATTTTATTAATTAGTTTCTTCATCAACTTTGAATTTTTCTAATAAAAGATTTACGGAACTGTTAAACTTGGAAGACGAAAGAGATGTTTTCAAAGTGTAAAACGGATTGGCGATAGCATCCACGTAAAGAGCATAAAACTCCTCAAAAAACTGTTAAAAAAAAATAAAATTTATAATAATTATTGGAAGTACGTGAAACAATATTTAACAGTTGTTATACGACTTTATCGCTAGTAAAAAGCTGTATTAGTCTATAAGTACGTAAAAACCAAGAAATAGTACAAATAAATTAGATTCATCCCACAGGGACGTAATAGCTTATGTTAAAAGTAGCAACAATAAAAATGATTGTACAGTTTTAATATTATTTTCCTTTTCTCGGGGGGAAATTGCTATTAAATAGACATTCGTGTTCGTGATATATCCATATCTATAATATTAATAAAAAAGGATCAAAACGATACAATAAACAGCAATAAAAACTAATTACACCGTAAAGTCTTCAAAAAAAAAAAGAGAACCAAGGAACAGATCTGAAAGATCTTCTATTATTAAAAAAGTTAACTGAATTTTTTCTGGCAAATTAAATTAATACTAAACTCGAATCACACTTTTCTTCAACAATATCAAGAGCTGCATAAGTCATGTAAGCAAATTTTAAGTTAGCATCCGTGTTTGAGGTTAAATATAAAGGAAAACCCTTTTAAAGAAAAATATAAAGAATCAGAAAGTAAATATTCTTTGACCTAAAATTCCATGTAGCAAAGTTAGAAAAACAAATACTTTCTTCTAAACGAGTAAAAATTTAATACTTTTTTATCCACAATAGCAGCATATAGAGGCATTGAATACCAATGCTGCGCACGCTAGTCATGGAAAAGTAAAATACTTTTTTCTTGCTTGAGCCATTACGAACTATAAGGACTGGTTAGTGGTAAAAGTGACCTTCAAATTTCAAACATACTTTTACTGGGTTTTTAAAAAAATTCTTTTACAATAATTTCTTTCGTATGTCATCAACTTTAATGTTTTTAAAGTAAACTGAATAATATAAACAAGAAATTAGTAATCACTTATTGATGCTCTAGACCCTTCTCGGGATTAATTTTTTGAAAAACGCCTGCTGCCTTAAGTATAGTTACGTAAATCTCTAATTAATTTTTTTTTAGGTTTATTAGTGTTGCTCTAAAAGTATAATTTCGATAAAAAATTCATTTATTTTAAGTACATCTGTCAATCATTCGTACCGGCGAAAGTGTCGTACATATAAAACCGTAAGCATTTCCTTACTTACAGAGCATCTTTAAGACAGTAAATATGGGGTATAAATAACGCCAGTGATGAATTTAGACAAAGCAAAATACTGTTCCATATTTTATTTCAGAAGTATTACGCCCTTTTTGCTTGTAGTTCACAATAACGAGGGTGTTTTAGAAGCTTTCTTACTTTTACACATTTTAAATTTATTTGTATGTAAAGCTCTTAAAATATTTATATCGAAAAAGGGCTTTAAGTTAGAAAAATGAAAAGATTAAATTATTTTTTTAAGCAATCAACGATTAAAAGGGCATGTTAGGGTTTTTTAGGATATACTTCATGCACCTTTTCATGCGGCTGTATTTAGTAATAACGGCATTAATAACGGCATCAAAAAACAAAAAATTTGTACGTTCTTTGCAAAGAATATATTGATTGCAAATTTTTTAAAAGCCTACTAGCTCGAGGAGGATACTAAAAATATAAAGCTCATAGTTTATGATAATGTCACTTCAGAAAAACGAAGAACGACCGCAAAAATAGTTTTGCCGTTGCAGTTTATTAAAATGTTATAAGGTAATAGTTTATTAAATTTTTTTTTTATATTCTCAAGTAAGTTTTGACATTTTTTATTAACAATGTTATATTATAAAGTTACTAATTGCGGTTTACCGGCTTAAAAACGTTTTTCTCTTATAAATACGGGTTTGGATAAAAGAAGGTTTATATTACATAGACAAGCTATAACAAATGAAAATCAATTTCCTTATATTTTTTTAAATTAAAATCCTCTTTTAGCACTTAAGATAGCTATGAATAATAGTCTAAGTCATTCAGCTGGAAAAAGATAGATTAAGCATGTCCAGCGCTACCGTTTGCAGATATAAATACTGTATTGAATATACCCTGAAAAAAGAACGAATATGCAATAAAAAAGGATATCCATCCTTTAGTAACCTACACTTAAAAGACTTCTCATATATAAAGTCAAGCAATATATATTTTACCCAGCCTTTAAACCTTGCGAATGAGTTATTGCAAAGGCAATTTGAAGAAATAACAAATATTAATTTTTTATTGAACCCAACCAAATTTTAATATTTAGTCGTTTTTACTACGGGGACAACAGATAGCGTGAAATCTAATAAATACTTAAAAGTGACTTTACTTCGTTTTTGTGGGCTATTGCAACTTAAAAAAAAAAGTAATAATGAGCTTGTCATCTTTAGGCTTTCTCAAAGACTAAATTAAGCTTCATCCTAAACTACTTTGAATTTTTTTTTTCTTTTTCTAAGGCATTCATGTACTTCTAGATATTAGACTTGTTTCCGGGAACTCTAACAATTTGAATAAATATTTTTTGGAAACCTTGTTTACATTTAAAATTAGGCATTACTACGAACAATGAAACTTTTTGTGACGATTTAAAATAATAATTAAGTCATGAGGTTTTCCATTTTTCTTTAGACTACTTTTTTGTTTCATTAAGCTGATGATTGTGGGGGAAGCCTATAAGCATAATACTTTACAAACCGGCCCATGAAATTAAGACTAAAATAAAAAGCGAAACAATTTGGTTACTGCGTAGTATACTGTATAAGGCCACTTCTATAAATAAGAAAAAACTCACAGCTCAGAATTAAATAACTTTGCGCATTTAATTCGAACAGCGTTCCTTAACTTTAAACCTTTAAATCTTTCCTATCTAATCTAATCTAGATTATCAAAAACCTTTATATTAATATATTCCAACTTATTAATAAAAAAAAGAGGCCTCAGTTTAGAATTTTTCTACTACTCTAGGCTAAGTGACAGTAAAATATTGAGGAAAAAACTGTTATATGTTTAAACAAAGTAAAAAGATAACTATAATCAAGTGGAGGTGTACGAATACTGAGCCCTACAGCTAAATCTTCGTGGGCTTCCTTGCTACAGTCACGTTTTCTGCCGCGGGATGGTGTCATGGGATCAACAGGCTTTTTAAGAAGTTTTAAGTTATCATTATTTATTCAGTAAATAAGTAATGTATAGTTTATCGCTTGAAGATCATTATAATCCTTATGAAAATAAGGAAAACTACATACTTGAACAACCAAAAACACTTTATAACCTTTTTACTTCTGCTTTGCATATGAAAACAAAGCAAGAATTAAAAAAAATTCCGGCTGTAATTTATTTTCCAAACCTTTTGGAGAGTACTTTTAAAGAGTTTTATTCTTATTATGAATTATCTATTTCAGTAACTCTACTTGCTTCTAAACTTCAACAGTTTGTAAATAAAAAGTTAGGCAGCTCCCAAACAGGAATTGCGTTAATTTTAAAACCTGGCCTGGGCTTAATTACTTCAATATTGGCGTAAATATTTTTTTAATACAAAGTAGTATTGTTATTATCAAGTATATTTTCCTTAATATTTTAAAATTTTTTTTTAATTGTTTAAAAAGAAAACTTTACTACTCCATCCTTAGATACTTCTATTTTATATATATTTGGGCGCTGCAGCGTCAGCAAGTTAGGCAGTTATTACGTGCCTTTTCCCTCTTCTGAAGACGCGGATCTTGTTTTCAAAAGTTTTGCTTATCACAAACTAGAATATATAATTACTAGCGAAACCGGCTTAGAAAGATTACAAACTTCTAATGGAATTCTCTCTTCACTATTATGTGTTAAGATTCTTCCTTTAAATCTTAAGTTACTTATTTTGGAGTTTTCCACAAAAACTACTTCGGCTCATTTACTTTGTGAAAATGATTTGGCTTACATTATACCCACCTCGGGTTTGTTACTCTTAAGATATATAGTAATAAATTATAGTTACAATCGGTGTTTTACTTTGAGAGATTAGTCTCTTCTTAGAGACTACTTTTAGCTAAAATTGTTTATTAGTCCTTATAAATAGGAACTTCTGGAATGCCAAAGTCCGTGTGTGTTAGGAACTGCTCAATTATTACTAATATAAAGGAACTTTGTGATTTATTAAATCTGGTACCGCAAGATCGTTGCTTGATGTCTGCGCCGCCTACTTTTGATCCATCTCTAATAGGTTTAATTTTTATATTTATATACAAATTTATTAATATAAATGTATATAAATTTTCAAATACTTATTTATTATATATATATAATTTTATACATCTATTCGGGAATTTTATATTATATAATTTATATATTCTTTTTTTTTTATTTCTAAATAATGTTATTTATTTATTTTATTTAGATTTTTTGATTTTAAAATTCTTTTTTATTATATTATTTACAATTTATATATTTTTATTTTAGTATTTGTTTAAACAAGTTTATTTTTATCTTGATTATATATAAATTTATATAAATACCCTCCTTTATAATTTATACACAAATTTATTTATATAATTGTATATTGATAAGTATATTTATATAAATTTCTATATACTTTTTTTAAAATTTTTATATATAAATTTACATAAATAAATATTTATATGTTTTTCTTCATTATTTCTCCACATATTATTTGTAGAATTATATTTTATATACATATAAATTTATATAATTAATATTTACATATTATTTCTTTATTATTTATATATATTTTTTAAAATTACATACAGATTATTAAATTTTTATTTTTATATAAATTTTATTTTATATACTTTTTTTTATTTCTGTTATTTAATATTAATTATGTTAATATTTTATACATTCAATTAAATTTTGGTATCCATAAATTATAATACTTTTTATACTATTGTTTATATATATTTATAACTTTTTTTTTATTATATCTTTAAATAAATTAGTAAATCATTTTCTTAAACTAAAGTTATTTTATAATTTTTTCGAACTTTAATTTCTCTCAAACTATAAACTTTATTTTATTTTTTATATATAAAAAAGAAATGTTTGTAACTTTTTCGTCTCTGGCTACTCTTGTTATAGTCTCTGAAGAAATTATAAAAGTTCCCGAAGTTTTATATAATTCCGTGAAATCAGTAAATTTTGTGAATGCTCGTTTTTTTTTTAGTGAAGTTTTTATTAAAAAAATCTATATATAAAAAAAGTGGCGGCTTCTCGTAAATTTTATGAACTTTTAATTTTTTTTACTGAAATTTTTTATATAAAAAAACAGGCGGGCTTGTCTGTTTTGCTTTGCACTCCGACTTTGTTTTTTCGATTTGGAAAATATATTCCTTCTTTATTACTGCAACTTCGGATACTTGCTTTAGTCAGTTTTACGATTTTTTAATTTTTTTTTAATTTTTTTATGAAGATTAATAATTTTTGAGGGCGGCGAGCAAATTCCATTTACTTTTTATGATTTTATACCGAAACGTAATCTTTGATTTACATAAAGTTTTATAGATTTTGTTAAAGTTTTATAGTAATTGTTTTTGAATATTATTATATGAGAGAAATTAGTATTCTATTTTATTTATATTGAGTTAAAGTTGTTAATAATTTATACAAATTAAAAAAAAATTAAGTAATTTTTTCAGTAATTTAATTTAATTTATTTTGAAAAATTATAAACTTAAATTTTATAATTTTAGTATAAACTGTTAAATAAAGGTAAATAAAAGTAATTTTATGTAATAAATAAACGAAAACTTTAATAAAAGCAATCTAATAATAGATATAAACTTTTATTAGTTAATAAAATCAACTTCTACACTAAACTAATATAAACAGAAAAAATAAAAAAAAGTGATATTTTATAAATAAAATAAGTAATTTCTCATAATTAATATATATAATTCATAAAGAAATAAAAAAAAAGTAAAATTCCGTAGTTAATAAATATATTTTAAGAAAGGGTTAAAAAAATGAAATTTATAAATAAATATTTCCTATAAAAAATTAAGTAATTGAAATTTCTATTATAAATAATTATAAACTTTATAAAGAAATATAAAAAGACAGTTAAAATATGAAAGCTTTATAAAAAATAAAAAAAAGTAAAAATTCAATTTTAATAAATATAAATTTAGAAAGAATTAAAGTAAGGTGATTAATATAATAAATAAATATAAACATAAAATAAAAAAGTTAAATTTTATAAGAAATAAGTATCAACCCTATAGGAAAATTAAAAAAGTAAGATTATACAATTAATAAATAGAAATTTAGAAAGAATTGAAAAAAAGTAGTTTTTTATAAATAAATATAAATTTTAAAAAAATAAGAAAATTTTGTAATAACAAAATTTAAACTTAAAAAAAATTAATTTTTTATACAATACTATAAAAAATAAATATACTCATTTATTTAAAAAAGTAAAATAATAAAATTTATAAATATTCTTTGAAATTGAAAATTTAAAAATTTCTAAAAATTTTAAATTTTATTGTTTTAAATTAAATTTAATTAAAAAATATAATTCGTATATAATATTTTTTAATTTGCAGAAGCAAAAAATTAAACGTAGATCATTTTTTTTTTAGATTGCACTGCTCGTATATATAATCTTTACGGCACTACAGAACTCTCTTGCTGGTCTTTTTTTTATCAGCTGTTTCCTACAGAAGTATCTTGTTATTTTGCAGAATTTTTTTGCTTGCGCTAATTTTGAAATCACGAGCGGCTCCTAAGAAAAGTTTGTGTTCCTGCAGCGCTCTTGCCATCCCCATTGGATGTTCCTTTCCTTCAATCACATATCGGGTTTGAGTAGCACTTGTGGTGCTATTAAAAATTCATTTATAAAAAAAAATTAGCTTTCTAGTACGAGTAAAGATTATGGCGAGCTAATAATAACGGGATATTCAAAAAGATTGTGCCGCTACACCGGTGAAGCTGCTATTCCAAATTGTCGTAGGACACGAGGTGTTATAGAATTTATAAAATAACGCAGTTTATTATTATAAAATCTATATTGCTGGTAACAGTAAAATGCTTGTGTAGTGGTAACGTATAGTCGTTTCAACTTTGCGGAGACAAATTTTTATTTTAACAATTTTCCTTAATTTTTTTTGTATATAAAAAAGATTTATTCAAGGTTTGCGCCCAGTGTCAGAATTTATTTTTTATGGGAAGAATAGATGAAGTGTTTAAAAGAAATGGGAAAAAAGTAAATCTTCAGCACCTGTCGAGCGATATATTACTTTTATGGAACACACAACAAAACGTTGCGCACGCTAATATAATAAGAATGCAATCCTGCCATCTCCTGTTTTTAGTAGAACAATCAGAATTAGTCGCGTTAGTGACTTTTGCAGGTGAACCTCGTAACGCTGTAGCGCCCGATTCCTCCTTTTTATTAGGTTCCTCTTATCACTACGCACGCGACCGACTGGAAAGCGGGAGTCGCTTTAATAATGTAGTGGAGCGCAATATTAATAAGTGGGACCAAACGTGTTACGAAATTCAGCTGTTTTTAGAGGCAGAGTTGCCCGCCCACAAGACTCCTTCTATCGTAGTCGCACTTTCTTTTTTTCCAGTAACTAGACATGGGAAAGTTAGTCAGCGTAAACTTAGCAGTTGCTGTAAACAACTTTTTTGTGCGGCCACAGATAAACATAACAGTACTGAGGGTATATAATTTTGCTTCGATTCAAATCGTAGTTTATTATATATATATATATATTTATATATCAAAACAAACCCTAGCAAAGCAACAAACAATCAAACACTTATTAACGGAGAAACCCCTTCATCTTTTAACTTCGCTCTTTCCAACGCGTAATAAAGTGTTTCGCTCTCGATTTTTGTATAGAGCTTTTTAATTATCTGATAAGATTTGAAAAAAATCAAGATGGATTCTTACTTAGTTATGTATGGAATTGAATCAATTTCCATCGCCCGAGCGGCTGCTATGCTTTCGAGGGAATACGGTATACTGATATTGTTACTAAAAGCCTTTTTTATACAATTATAAGCACAATTATTTAGTTTAGCGAATATTAATTCTTTTCTTTTACTTAAGTTACTCTTATTTTTTTAAAAATTAAAAATTTACTTAAGGAAAATTAATTTTTCTTTGGTATAGTAATGTGTTGTACGTAACTTCTAGCTATCCAAAATGCGGAAATAACCTTTTTTATCATAGAAAAGTATATATAACAATTTTTTATTTGGAAACTTGCTAGGTTTCCCGCTTGAACGTTTGATGGATCTCTTGTTTAATAAAACCATTAAAGAAATTTGTAAATCTCTTAGTCTTTTAAGGTTTTACACTAGATGATTTTATTTTTTAACCGTTATACAGCATATTATAAATGTGGCAACGGTATTGGTATCTTTAAAAATTATATATTATTAATTAAGCAGCAGTACTACGTTTGATATGCTTTGCGAAGAAATATTACCAAGCAAGGCGGAATTCGTAAACACAACAGGACGAGATCCTATAGCATTTCAATTCTCCGCTGTGGATAATTTAACTTCAATTACGCGTGGCGGTCGAGTAGATGCCGGACCTTTAGCGTTCCAAGTAACTTTTTTTATTTTGCTTGACGGTGTACTGCTTGCATCATTTACTCTTTTCGCTGGAGTATTGTAGGATTTAAAAAAGCTTGAAGTTGTATGGCGTGTAAATACGCTTAAGTGTGTGGATTCATCGCCTTTAGTGGTGTATAAGGATGAAAACATTTCCTACACATACATAGGTCCTCCCACTTAGCAAGGCAGAACTCTCCTTTTTTTTTTTTTTATGAGTACCTTTTCAGGCGGCCATTCGCAGTATTTATACTGTATTAACAATGCTAATGGGAGCGTGGTCTGGTCCTTGAAACTGAACGGGCGAATTGAAGCATCTTGCGTATTCTTATATGGCGGATATATTGTTGTGGGGTGCCACGATAATTTTGTCTACTTCATAACCTTTCATACTGGTAAAAAAAACTAGGCTACTATTAATAAGTTACAACTGTATATTATATTGGATTTACGATAAATATTTCTGTATCTTCCATTTATTTCTTAAAATTACACTTATTAGTTTCTTTTATAGGTCAGCTTGCTTATAATATTAATGTAGGCGAGGTGGTTAAAAGCACGGCTTGTGTCTATTTGGATAAATTTATATTTTTGGGTTTTTCTTTCGTTTTTTGTAGTATTATAATAACGCTGTTCATATAACACACTACGAGGCTTTTACGTTAAATTATCTCTTCAAGCGCTTTAACTTTTGACATATCTTCATAGGCACCTACAACAAAGATTTAGTTATGATCGACACTGTATCGCAAAGCATTAGCTGGAAAGTACAACTAACAGGAAGCGTGTGCTCGACTCCGTGCGTTGAAGGTGCTTTTAGCTTTTTTGATAGGAGAGCGCAGGTGATACTCCGCTTTGCACAGAAAAAACGTCGGTGTACGTTGGATCCCTCTCGGGGGATCTTTATAGCTTTTGCCTATGCGAGGGCTGTTTGCTCTCCAAAGAGCACTGCTTACGAGGCTTCAAGGGAAGTACGGCTAACCCTCGATTAGCTTGGACATATCACTGCCCGAAGCCCCTCTTCTCTTCCCCTCTTCTGAGCCGTTCCAGTGTTTTGATTGGGTGCGCTGACGGTTAGCACGAATAATATTGAAATAAGTTTATTATTTGTCTCGAGTAGCAGTTGGTAGTTATGAACTAAACTCGTTAGTAAATAGAGATTTTAATATTTTGGGCTTGTTTATAATTAACTCAGTGAATAAAGATTTTAATATATCAGGCTTATCAGTAAAAACTTTAAATTATAAAGCCCGTTAAATAATTTTATACTGTTATGGTCAAGAAGAATGTGTGAAAAAGTTAACGTGTTTTATTAGGGTCTTAGCTACACGTTTAGCTAATTCACATATGAACTAAGTATTCCTTAAGCTTAGCTTGTTTCTTTATTTTATGAATAAAAAGCAAAGCTCATTTAATATAGTAAAATTATTGCAAATGCATGGTTTGTTATAAACTTTACGTCTTTTAACGTTTTTCTATGTGGTTGTTAAAATAAATTAACGTTTTTTTGGGGGACAAACGTAGGATTCCTGTATAATATTTCAAAAGAGGGTGGAACTCTTTTATGGAGATATCAAACCGAGTAAGGCCTGCCATGGAGCATCTATAATTTATCCTTGCCTTATTTTTTAATCACACTAGCGGTCCTATCTTTGCATCACCTTGCATCTATGAAATGGAAAAAAAGGAGTCAACTTTAGCAGCCTCACCATGTTTTGTCGTTTTTGGATCTTATGACAAACACATGCATTGCGTTTCTCTCGACTCTGGCAATCTTGTATGGAAAACTTTGTGCTCTTCGGAAATCTACTCGACATCTTTTATTATTAACGCTTACAATTTGAAAAATAATGCTTGTGAGCCTTTTCCAAAAAGGATTCGTCGGGAAAAATATAGTGACCGTCAACCCCTTTTATTAAGCTGCTCCATTGACGGTTCCGTACAGGTAAAATTTTGATAACGTGCTTCTGAAGCACAATCAATGTCGTTGCAGTGAAATTTTCTTTTAAGGAACTGACCATCTTTAAACTCGTTAAGCAATAGTTTTATAGCTTCAGTTAAACTAATAAGTTCTCTACTGATAAAGCGATCTTTAGATTTTATCAGGAGTAGATGGCTCGCCAAAAACGAAATCTTTAAAACTGCCAGGACAAGTTTTCTCTTCTCCTGTTTGTGTTCCAGGTAGCGCTTATAGTATTACTAAATTTTAAAAGCGATAACGCTCAGCCGTTGAGTAGGTAAACAGCTAAAAATAGTTATCGGCTGCCGTGACGATTATGTGTATTGCCTGCTTTTAAAATAAAGCTAGCTTTTTGCGCTTACCAGCTCAGCATGCCTTTCAAGATTAGGCGAAGAAAATTTTTTTTTCAAGACACGAAAACATAGTAGAAATATTATAAAATGTTTTTATTAAAAACAAAAACGAAAACAAAAAATTATCATACTTTTGCCTGTTTAAATTTAACTTGTAATATTTTGTCCCTAAAACGGTACCCATTTAAATACTGAATAGCCAACATGGCCTGCGCGCAGGTGTCGTAGTTTACAAAGCCATAACCCTTGCACTGCTGGTTTTCATTTCTAATAACTTTAAGGGACGTTATCTGTCCGTAAGGGCAGAACAAGTCGTACAGCGCCTTCTCGTTAGTATCCGGCTGCAAATTGTATACAAAAAGGCACCACAGAGCAGGCGGGCCTGACGTCGGTACGTTGTTGAGGGCTTGCTGATTGTTGTAGCTCGCGGGGGTTGTCGTGAAACTCTGGACAGCGGGGTTCGCCATGTGCGAGTTCATGGGATGCTCCAAAACTTGACTGGGATTCATGCCATTGGCCGGGTTCATCATGTGCTCGTGACCGTGTCCAACAAACTGGGTGATGTCTAACTCCGCTCCTGGTGGCATGATTGCCACAGGAGTTTGATTTAGGCTAGAAGAAACATAGAGTGGAGCGATGGGCCCTGCACTTTGGGGCTGCATTACAGAGGCGGGGACTTGTGCAAGGTCCACCATTACATTAGCGCCCCGATGAGTGGCATGGCCCATTCCCATGCCCATATTTTGATGAGCAAAGGAAGGGGCTACCGGTGGTGGGGCGCTCTGGGCAAAGCTTAGACCTGGTGGTCCCTGCGGATAGCCAGGTGCCAATGTCGGCTGTCCCACAGCCTGGCTAAGGGGGGGTATTTCTGGAAGGGTCGGTGGCTGCCCAAAGGGGATAGACGAGGACTGGCAAAACTGGTCATAGTCGTTCCCGTACAGCTGCTGTTGGTGGATGGGGGGGTGTGGCTTATAATTTACGATATACGGGCTGTATCTACCGCCATAGCTTAAATTTCCAGCCGGCACTGGAGGTTTTAAAAGGCGCCTTTCTGTCTTAGTAATAAAGTCTTCTGCAATTTTAACTCTGACGGGGGTGGAGTAGCCCGGCGGGACATACCCGTTCATAGCACGAAGTGCGTGATCAGCCTGCATGCGGTACTCGAATCGAACAAAACCGACGCCTTTTTTTTCCTGCGTTTTATGGTCCGTCAAAACTTTACACTCTATAATCTTTCCGTACGGCGAAAAAAGTTTTTCTAAGTCTTCTTTCCCGTAAGACTTTGGCAAGTTTTGTACGTACAAATTAGTCTGCTTAATTTCAGAAGTGCTTTTTCTAGCAAAACTAACTTTCAATGCTTTGTCTCTAATTTCAAAGCCCGTTAAATTTTCAATGGCCTTCAAAGCTTCCTCCCTCGAAGACATCTTAACAAAACCATAACCTTTCGATTCCAACGTGTCCTTTGTTCTAATAATTCTGACTGCCTCGACTTTCCCGTAGTAGTCAAAAAGCATTTTTAACTCGCCTTCCAGCATATCTTTAGGCAAGTAGTTGCAAATGAGGTTGTTATCCTCGATCTCACTGTAAATGTTCTTTTTTTCTTCTTTGTCCATTTTAATATATAAAAAAACAAAATCTAACTTAAGCCCCTGCTGAGGACCTATTTTTAGTAAAAAAAAAAAAACTCAAATGTCGAAATCAAAAATATCATTACAAAACTATATTATTACAAAAGAACAATTATAAAAAACCTAATTTATAAAAAAACCCACTAAATTAATGCATAAGTTTACATAACAAATAACTCGTTCAGCAAGTAAAAAAACCTGAAATAAAATTTGAAAACCCAAAAAGCACAGCACAGAAATAGTTGAAAAATTAAATTCCAACAAAACCTAAAAATAATATAAAAAATAATTAAAATATATATATATATATACGTAAGAGTCAGACTTAGCAAACTAAAAGAAAACTATAAACTATCAAAGCCGAAAAACAAAAAAAGAAATTTTCTTTATTAGAATTTATTTAATTCCAAAACTAAAACCAAGAAAGGTTTACCGGTTTACAAAAAAGAAAGAGCGAGTAAACGCCTAAACATGAATAAACCAAACTCACGAAGTTCAAAGAACTTGAGATTAGTGGCGAACAGAAAAGCAAAAAAAGAATAAAGGCAACTGGAGAAAAGCGTGGCGAAGGGGGAGAGGCCACGCATGAAAAAATTACAAAAAAAACCACATGTTGTAAACTTTAATCACGCGTGGTTCTTCCACAGTTTACTGGTGAAGGTGAAAGGAAACTTTTTTTATATTTAGAGCAAGCAAAACAGCTTATTCTTTATATAATTTTTAAACACTATTGCGTGAGTAGCAATCCACTGTTTAAGATTAAATAGTTAAAAGCCTTTTTTAGTATGTAAAGCAAGCAAACTAGCTTATTTTTTATAGTATTTGAAGCATTAGTAGGTCACCAGCAATTTACTGTTAAAAAAAAGTAAATAGTCAGTTTTTATTATACTTGCAGAAGGCTAAACGGCTTATATTTCATGATCGCTGTCGCACTTTTACTTGAACCCAGCAATTCTCCTTAAAAAAATAAAAAGTTAAATCCTTTTTTTAGGTAACATGGCTAATATCTTTGGTACTATTATATTATTTCTGCTGAAAGTTATAATTTGACGGTTACCATTAACCTTGAGCCTACATTTCGTTTATCATAATTTTTTTCTTTTTTAGTAAATTATGCTTAAATTTTATAATTAGCCCTATATACCGATAGTAATTATTAGTACGAGCTTAATAGTAAGGTAATTTTAAAGAAAAGGTGAGGGATTGAAAGCCGGAAAGTGTTCCAGGGGTCTTATTTTAAATAGCGTTTTGAAATAGTTACATATATTAACTTAAATATTTATTTATAATAGAAATGAACAATAGTTATAAGTTAAAAAAGTATATCTTCAAGCAACTTAATATCTTTTTATGGTTTGGTTTCATATAATTTATTTATAGAAAGGTGTAGGTGAACAATAAACATTCCTTTTAGAAACAGTTTAAAATTATTATTAAAAACGTTTGTGATAGTGGCTATTGGAAATTAGTCACGCAAAGAAAAAAATCCGAATTAGAAAAACTATAAATTTAATTTAAATTCTTATTAATCCAAAATTAAAGTTGTACGGTTAGTCTATACTAAAAAGTTATATCTAGGTTGCCATTTAATTTTGTAAAGACGAAGTCTACAAAAAAATTAGCATTAAAAAAAAAAGCTTATATATAATAGATAAAACAAAGTATATGAAAGTTTGACTATTTTATCCAGCACCACAGCTTTGGTTTTTAAGTTAGGGGAAATAATTTTTTTATTTACATAAGCAGGGCTTATTACTTCTTAAGTTCATATTAAATAAAAAACTGTGTAACTGACTTTGTTGTAGATCTTAAAAGTCATTTACTCAAACAAGCATGGTTAAATTTAACGTGTTTATTTAGATAGTTAAACAACACTAGCTAGTCAAGTTACGAGACTCAGCAAAGTTAATGACAATAAATAATAGTAGTAATTTCCTCAGATGGTCGCTATGGCTCCAACTTTTTCTTATTTAGATTTTTATTATTTGATAATGCAATAAAGGTGGATAGAATACGTTTCGCTGACTTTCTATTGCAATGCTAATCAGTAATACTATTTAGGAAAGAGGTGACCATATTCTTAAAGCGCCTTCGGTCGCTTATAGGTTATAACTCAGTTTTAAAATTCGTGCAGGGTAAAGTGATTACTGACTACACTCCAACAAGGAGTGGAAAAAAATTAATTTATTAAACGTCTAAAACCTATCTTACTACTGATGTAAACAAATGTTACTAGTATAGTCTTCTTTTTATATATCAAGAAATGAAAAATTATTGCCTATGTGTGGAATCAAAAAAATATATTTTACACCTTACTTTCAGTTTTTAGTCTGAGTGAATTTTTAAAATCTTATCTGTATGCTAAAATGTTAGTTTAAAAACAAACTGAACTTTGCATGGACTAGAGTTAAAAAACAAACCCTAAACAAAACATGGACGTTTCCAAACAGTAGACATCGTATAAGTAACAGCTTTAAGTTAAAAACTGTAAGGGCCTTACAAATCAACATCTAGTTCTAGTATCCCTTTTAGTGTACAAGTATTAAAATAGTAAAGAACTCATTGCGAGTCGTATTTGTATTGAGAGGGTTTTCTACCTAGAAGCAGCTTTTTGTAAAAGCCAATATTAAATCCTTTTGAACCTTAAATTCCTTTTCTCTTTTGGATTGTCCCCTTCTATCCTCTGAATTATAAATTTACTAACAAAAACTATTGAATATTAACTTAAACGAGGATTTAGAACTCGCCTTGCGGTAGGACAAATATATTTTCATGTCACAAGATAACTTCCTGGAGGTTATATCCTTTCAATAAACTTAAAACAAACATTTTGTGAATCTATATTGCCTTATATGAAGTTAGCAGTAGGCAATCTGGTTTATCTTTTTTTTTTTTTTCAGTCTACCTTTTCTGTAGGTTGAAGAGTTCTATTTATTTTACCTTTATGCAATACTAGTTTGCTCACCTTAAAGAGTCGATTAACTTGGCGTTTCTTGTTGGCAACGTACCCTTGTCCCAAGTAAAAATCCTTCATCGAAAATTGAAATTAGATATGAACTTTGGTATCAGCTTAAATATAAAGTCCGCTTAGAAGAGTGGTTTAAATTATTTATTTAGATTGCGAAATAAGTTATATAAGGGTGTAAGAAAGAAACTTCCATACAGCTATTAACATTATTATATAAGCACTCTGAGTTAAAAGTAGATGTTCAATCAAAACAGTCTGTAAGTAAATTACTAATAATTTAAATTTAATGCTCTACTACCTAAATTACCAATTCGAATGAAACGTAAGTTTCGAAGAAATGAAGTCACAAGGTTTACAAAATAAGTAAAAATTACAAAAAAAAAAAAAAGAGGGGGCCTATATCATAAATAATACCCTGCGGAAAACTATGTAGTTTAAAAATTTTTTTTTAAACAAAATTTAGTTTTTTAAAAGATAAATATTTAAACAACGTGAGGTTAGTAAGTACATAAACTTTAGTGAGGTGTCTTTAATATGAAGAAACGAGGTATGCATGTGGATATACAAGTGTAGCCCATGCACGCGCAGCTCCTAGGGGGTCCAGCATTAATCAAAGTTCTACGGTGCTTTTAGATGTTCAAAAATATAATTATGTTACATTAAACTCTTATTATTACATTATATAACGTACTGTTTTATATTTATTCTTGAGGGCTTCCTGCCTGTAAAATCAAGAGAGAGCTAAATTCTAAAATTTGTGTATATAAACTAGCCATTGGCGCATCATAAATTATTTTATTCTATCACGTAGTTGAGCCATAGACCTGCTTTCCTTTAGTTTTGTAGCATTCGCTAAGCTATTAGATTAATAATATATATTATATAGTTTATGTACCGTTAATTTTTTTTATACTTTTATTGCTAAATTATTTAGTGGTCAGTGCACAAACATAACAACTGGGACAAAGTGACATCTTTTAGTAAAGTGATATTTAATCACCATTATGGTAGCGTAACCCGCATGGAATGCAAGTAAGTAATGAACTCCGATAAATTGTCCTTAAACTTCTTTTGTTTCTGAGAGGCTGAGAAAAAACATAAGGTTTATGTCAAATAATTTTTTTAATGATAAACCTGACATCTCTCCATGTAGTTGCCAATCTCCTTTTTTGAAAAGGGCTCTTTACTATTCCATTATGTTAAAGCAACTATGCTTTTCATCCTATTTTTCTTTAAAAAAGCGTAAGGGTCTTGTCACCGTTTAGTACATGATAAAAAAATGTAGAGATTGCTTGCGCAATCAGTACCGCAATACAATAAATAGGGATCTGCGAATGTCTAACAGGTTTACTATCACTTTTTACAGAAATAAACCTTCATTATATTTTAATAGGTAACTAATTTGGAAGCTTTTCTTATAAGAAAAGTGTATTGGTAAGATATTACAGGTTTTAGTGGCCATTTATAACTCTATATTTGTATTGTAAAGGTAATAAAGTGCGTCACAGGTTTCAAGATAAGCGCCTATGCTAGTTTTGCTATGCGATAGTACACAGGTTAAAGAAGTCAAGAAAATCGTCCCCCATAAATTGATCATAATTTTTTTTACTAGTTTATACGTCAATCTTGAAATCAGGATCAAAGCGTCTCATTTTAGGTGCAGCTAAAAACTTTTTAAGCTCCAAAAAACTTCTTGCTCAGTATACCTCTGAGAACGATGACTCTTCTTGAGTTGCTCACCAGGAGGCTTAATGTTTTTAAAGTAATCTCACTTAAACATTTTTTTTAGTTATTAAATCCTAATTATTATTTAAGTTTATCTTTACTGTTTATAGGGCGCTTCTCCTTATTATAAGCTATCTTATAAAAAACCACTCTTTATACTATTCACGTTAATTATATAACATGAAAAATCGATTATCTTAGCGCTATATATGTAATTTCTTAATTCAAATACTAATTCATAATCTCTTTAGGCTCTAATTACCAAGTGAACATACTAATTGTGTTCTCTAAT